TCGAGTGGCCACTCTCACAGGTGTGTGGCTTGTATGCTGGGTACAAACATTTATGTGAGATGTCAAGACTCCTTGATTATAATAATAATAATAGTATAGTATTTTAGGGTTTGGTGTGACAGGCTCTTGTGACTTCAGTCAAATTATGGCTAGCTGTTTATTGTGCTTCTAAACTATCCCCTTTGTGCAAGGAATGGCCAGGGTTATTATCCACAGAGGGTGTGGGAATTGAATGCAGGTCAGCGAGATTGCTAGATGAGAACACTATCACTGCACCACACAGCTCAGATATCGAGATAGTAATAGACTGTTGCACAGACTCCAGATCATCTCTCTAAGTAGTCTATAACTCAGTGCAGCAATAAGAAAAATAAGTAACATTCTTATTTGTCTTTCTTTTCTTTCTTTCTTTCTTTATGATATTAAATGTTTATGTAATACAGCTAGTGCCGCCAGTCATGGCAGGCTGAAATTCTTATAATGGCATGGTTCTGTCACCCCAGTCTTCGGCCAAATTTTTTTGTAATGGCATATTCACATCACCCACTGCTTGGTCAAATTTTTTCATGTCGTGATGGTCACTTCATCTGGATCCAAGGGGTTAATTCAGGAGCTAAGACCGTTTCCATTTATCATAGCCAGTCAGCCAGTTCTGTCTCCCATTAGGTGAGTGCTGAGAATTGGCAAATTATGGAAAGTTAGCTGGACAGATCTTGATGCATTTTAATACTGCTTGAATTTAACAGGTAACATTGGATGCTTGGTGAACGGAGCAGGGTTAGCTATGGCTACCATGGACATCATCAAGCTACATGGCGGTTCACCAGCAAATTTCTTGGATGTTGGTGGTGGAGCTACTTCTGAACAGGTCAAGGAAGCCTTCAAGATTATTACAGCAGATCCTCAGGTGAGTTGTGACTCGGTTGTGTGAACCGGCCACTCGTGGATATTCCTTTGTTCTATGGGTGATGAGGATGATAGATATTTCATAATGCTCCAAAATATGATGACAAACAAAAGGCCGAGTCTTAGGTAGGATGAGCTCCCTCTCGAGGTTGAGTTTTCCTATGCAATGATTAGCTTGGTTGAAGAAGCACTACTGAACATTTGGAGTTTAATGTGGAATGTGAGCTTACAGTTATGAGAAATGTCATGAGATGTAAAAATTTTGCTTACATGGTTAAAAGTAACTGTCATTTTACATATAATTGGTTATTGTCAGTAATTTTTGTTCTTTATGTATCATGTGCATAAGTATGTTTACATTCAGTTAGCAGATAGTAACTCTATGTATGATAATGATCATATCTGTTTATTTATAAAGTTTAATGTGAATCTTACAGGTGCATGCTATTATGGTCAACATTTTCGGTGGCATCATGCGTTGTGATGTCATTGCACAGGGAATTATTGCTGCAGCAGAAGAATTGTCACTAAAGATCCCTATTGTTGTCAGACTTCAGGTTAGTCACTAGATTTGCCTCAATTAAAAGTATTTTTTAACCTTATGTTTACTTAAGATTGAAGCATAATACTTAAAAATGCCTTAGATAAATATATTCTGTTTTGAAAATACTGGCATGCTACATAGAAATGCTGCCTTTTTTTTTTTTTATCTTCTAATAATTGCTCTGGTAATCTCAGACCATTTGTATAACATAAAACTTCATCAGAATTTATATTGTTTATTAATTTTTATTACTGGAATTTCAAAATGTAAATCTAAGATGTCTATTTTAATATGATATATTTATATATTGCATTTCTCAACAGGGCACCAACGTGGATGATGCAAAGGCTCTCATTGCTCTGTCTAACCTAAGAATCTTACCATGCGACAATCTGGATGATGCAGCAAAGATGGCAGTCAAGCTTTCGAATATCATGAGCCTTGCCAAGGCAGCAAATATTGATGTTAAGTTTGAGATCCCTGTATAGGCAGGTAGCAGTGATTACTGAATTTGTATAGAGTATATAAAAAAAGGAAAATAAATGATTCAGAGGAAGACCAAAGAATGACCCAGTTGTGAGTTAGACAAATGTTTAAATATATTTTGAATTTTCCATGGATGTTTCATGACAGGCTTATAAAAGGAAAGGAAAAAATAAATTGTTTCTGCTTGTCATAAATAGGTGATAATATGCATTTGTCTTATTTTGCAGGCATTCTGCTTGTGAATAATCTGTAAATTTTTGTAAATGGCTAGGCTATTTCTGTATATTACTTTCAGTATTTGTTCTTTCCTGCTTTGTTACAAATCTCAAAAACTTACGCCTTTAGAGGGAACAAATATGAAGAAGAAATGGAACCTCTACCTAATTTGTTTTTAATATAATTATTGTAATATATTTATAGATTGTCTAATCCCAGAGTTATAACTTTAACCTGTAGTTGAGAGGAATGTGCTGAACCTGTGGGCATGAGTTATGAGTCTGGGAGAGGCAGAAAGTGGCTCTGTTGGAATGACCAAATAAACTTCAGCCAATGGCAAAACATTTACTTGTTGTTTTGTATTCTCCCCTTTGTACCTTTTATTTGTAATTATTTATCTATGCAGATAATGTTCTTTTCTTCTGAAGTATCTCTAGTCTTATGATCTGGTTGCATTTTTTATAATTATTTTTCAAAGGAGGTTGCAATAATTATTTATACCACACCTGTTTGATTTACTTAACCCATTGCTGATGGGCATGACGTGTACGTGTATGTCATGCCCACTGTGAGTGTACTTGTTTAATTATCTTATGCACAGATGGCTACACTTGTACTAAGTCACCAATGAACCAATTATGAGTACTGCCTGTCTCGCATGTTTACCCTTTTCATTGATTTATGAAAATATTTTACATTATCTTATTTTGCTGTTACTAATGTTTATGACATTATAGTAATTATAATGTTTATAGTAAAAATAACACCATCAATATTCATAGCACTAGTAAAAAATACATTTACCCACCAATTCAAGGAAAGGTGAAATCAAGTAAGGCTATGCACTAGCAGAGCCATCTATGTGCAGACATTTTACAAAAAATATAAAAAATGAGCACAGCATCTTCCCCGTTTTTTATTCATTATCCCCGGTGGGATTGATTTAACCCCTTCTCAATGGGTCACGCTGTGAGGCGTCAAAACAAATTGCTCTATCTGTGGTGTGTGGCGCGCCAAAGTGCTATGAGCTGGTGATTCGACTTAATGTACCGAACTCCCGCGCTCAAAGTTAATGCATTATCATTGATCTCCACAGCATTTTATTTATTTATTTATTTATTTATTTATTTTATTTTTTTTTTTTTTATTTATTTATTTTTTTTTTTTTTCTCTCCTTGCCCGTTGTGTGTCGTGGGGGGGCTTAGGAGGCGGAGACTGGGACCCAATGATGGGGAACTCCCCAACCTTGGGACTCAGCCCTCGACTCAGCTAATCATGCATGGTCTTTTTTTCCCTTCCCATTTTGTTTCGTCCCTTCACCAAACCCTTCTGCTATCCACCTCCTAAGGTGTGAGAGCCGTGCTGAAAGGATGAAAGGCTGACTTTGTGCCAGTCCTGAACGGCCTGAGGGAGCCATGGGCACGGTATTCCCCTGATTTAGTATCTAGCCCTGAGGGGTGGACTGTTTTTATCCCCAACATAACCAGGCTTACCATGGCCAGTAATGAAAATATATCCCCACTGTTAGGGGCAATGAGGCTTGCCCCTTTATCAAATAGCCCCAAAGAAGTAAACCCACCCGATTCCCCGACCCCAGGCTCTCCTTTGACCACGGCTCCGAACACTGCAATGCCTACTAGTACAGTAGCCAACAATCAACCCTCAAGGAACATTTCCACTCTCCCAGCATGCCGAACTTCAACACCTCTACCCCCACAACCTCCAACATCAACCACCCCATCCTCCCTTATTAATACCTTTCAGCCTTATAGCCCACCTCTCCATAACACTACCTCCATCAACACTACTCCATCTTCGTCACGCCCTCGCCCTTCTACCACCCCTATCTCTAAAACAATCTTGAATACTCTCTTCAGTGCAGCTAAATGGGACCGATTTTTCGTGATCCCTCCCACAGCTCCTACTCTGACAACACCCTTCTCTTCACAACAATGCCTCCAAAAACAAGTAGGTAAAGTCTCTTTCCGTAGCCGACCCAACCGCTCCCGTCTTGTAACAGTAACATCCGAAAACCAAGCCATAGCATTAACAAAACTAACTGACCTATATGGTAACCCCATCCTAGCAGAACCCCATCCAACCTCAATACTTGCACCGGAACAGTCTCAATCTCACCAACAAATTGCCCAATCTATGACAAAGATGGTCAGATTGTGGAGAAGATCTACTTGCCTGTCTCACAGACTACGATGCAACATCAGTACAATGCTATTCCATCCCCCCAGAGGTCATCGAAAGAAACCCACTAACATAGCCAAAATTACCTTCCGTAGACATGACCTTCCCTTTAACGTCACATAGGAGGAGAATCCCCCCTGTTCGTCCATACCAACCTCCTCCACGTCAGTGCCAAAATTGTTGGCGTCTAGGACACCCAGCCAAACACTGCCGTTCCACAGCCAGATGCCCATTATGTGCCCAACCTGGCCATACTGCTCTGCACAATCACGCACATGTGCCAACTGTGGCGACCACCATAATGTATTTTATAGGGGCTGTCCCACCTACAAATTTGAATCTGAGGTAGCAACTCTCAGATTCAAACTCGGACTCACACTGCGTGAAGCCAGACAGGAAGCACGTCGACGTGGATTCTCTCTTACTCCTTACTCCAGTAATACTGCTCATTCTAACACTTCTCCTAAACCCACCCCTCCTACATCTAACCCCCCACTAACCCCACCTACCTTCCCCAGTCAAACTCTTTTGCCATCCTAAATCCAGAAACTCCAATCTCTACTACAGATACTCCAATCACCACTACAACCCCAACACCTTCCCCTCTCCCTCCTCGCACTCCCCGTAACAGACAGAACAAACGTTCCACCCCCTCTTCCCCTACCACACAATCACCCCCACCATCCTTTGCCCGTACTTTTGAGACACCAGTCCTCTCTTCCCCCCCCTCACAAGAAATCCTTTATCCCCCAAAACTCCCCAACCAACTCCACAGAAGAAACTATTGAAAATATTCAAGAATACTTAATGAAAACTGACACTCAACCTACAACTCCTGCTCCTTCCACACTCCTAGTAATTGCTGATATCCATCCTCCTAACGATATCCCCCCTACACCCTACCCTCCTACCCCTCCCAACACAGCCCATCCCCCCTGACCCCAACCCCGCCCACATTAACTCTCCCACCATCCCCTCTATCCCTTCCACTCCCTCCTGGATACACACGTGAATCCCTTATGTCACAAGTATCCCCTTCCTCAGACCCTCCATCTCCTAATACCCCTCTGATAGAACACCAACTCCCACACCTCTCCCATCTCAAACTCTCAGTCCTTATCCCACCCTCTAGCTGCTTCCCCTTCAAATTCTCCAACACGTACTACAATCTATATCACTACACCATACCTCAACATCTCCACTCCTCTTACCTTTTCACTACCACACTAACCTCTATACTCTTTAACCTGTATCTTTACCCTAATCATTAACTCATTCTGAACCATTTTCACTACTCTACTTTACCTTGGCACCATATGACCTCTGATGTCACATAGCACTTCCTTACCTTTTGAATACACTGCTGATGACCACACCGTTAATGACCTTAAATGTTGATGCAGCAGAATATTTTCAGTAAATAACTTCTCTCCTGCTCACCTTCAGTTTTCTCTGGACATCTTCACTTGTATTTGCAGGTTCTTGGCCATGATCATTAAGGACCTAGATGTTGAATCAATGTTCACTAATGTCTTCTGCCAACTGATGTGTCATGTATGGAATCTAATTCCTTTTCATTTGAAGAATGTACATACAGTGCTTCTCCTGTAATCCAGTCTAACAGTTGTTACTTTTCTGTTTCTGTGTGCAATCTCTATTTACGGTGCTAAGTATTTAGATGCAAAGACATTTCTTGCTCAGTATGCACTAACCCTATTTCTATATTTCAAGCTCTTTTAACCTGTTTTATACTGTGACACCATTTTCGACATAATGAAGCACCAGTAGAATATACTATGACACCAATGTTGGTATCATATTTTCATTTTATTTTAGTTGGGGCTGAGTGATCCTATATTCTGTTCTGGCTTTATTTTTTAGACTCCACATATTGCCCTAAAGATTCTATAGCTCCATCCACTTTCCCTCTACATTTTACTCCAAATAACTTTAAAGGATTGTATATTTGATGATCTTTGCATCTCTCCCTCTCCCTCTTCCCTCTCCCACATGTGTGACTGGTCACAGGCGAATGCTCTAAACATAACTAACGTGCATATTTTAAGCCATCTGGAGCAAAACAGATAATGACAGATAGTTTTTTGGTGAGCCTATGGTAGTCCATCCAAGCAGAACTTCTAACACAAGTATGCTACACACAACATACATAGTAACAACAGTTTTTGGATGGACTGGTCAGTAGCCCTGGTTCTTACATTTTCAGTCTGCTGCCTTAAGTTAAACCAGCCATAGTTCCCACAGTCCTCAACCTGATCTGACCTGCTTTTATGTTTGAGCAAAAGCAGGTTTTGCACTGTCTTGCTTTCCCCTTCTCTTACATACCTTGCTTCCCCTGCCAGCTCAGACCTGAAAATGGAATCAAGCAGGATTTCAAAACTGTATTTTTCTGTATTTTCAGTAAACTCCCAATTATGCAAGCATAGTGAAGTGTTTTTCACTCATTAGGTATGTTTTTGTTGTTGCTGTTTGAAATGAGATCCAGACCAGCGCTAAAAAAGTAGTGATCAAAACCCCACTCTGGCAGCTGTGGGAATGTTGTTATCTAATAATGAAAAAGTCATGGATAAAGAAACAATTCAGCTTTCATAATAACTGTGTAGCATGAAAATAGAAAAGCTTGAAATTCTGTATTTCTTTTTTTTTGTGTGTGTGTGGTTTGTGTATTCTAAAAGTAAAAATGGTGACAGTGGCAGCTTAGACTGACAGGAAGCAAAGTAGGGGATTCCAGTAGCTTTATCTTGAGCTGTCAAGGATTAGCACTGCATGAACAAGGGATGCTTTTAAGGCAGCCAAGGGGAACCTTTAGGAAATGATCAAAATTTTTGAAAAGATGATCATCAACAATTTTATTTTGGGGTCAATATTATCAAATACCTGCAATGAACATTACCATTACCTCAGCATTATTGCTGCAAATAAGTACATTTTGTCAGTGTGTATCAAACTCTTTAAATACAGTGGAGGTCAAATCTCCAAATTTCAGATGGGTCTAAGATTTCAATAATATTGTCAAGATGGTTTGCTCAACACTCACAGCATGATACTTCCTTTAAAATCCAAAGACCAAGTGTATGACATCTTGACAAGTTTAGGACGAGATAGTAGGAGAAAATTTTTACACCATACAA